CATTGGAATTAAATTAAAACTAGATATGTCATTTAATAATCCGAAAAATTATATTGTATTTCCTGGTAGCTGTATGTTCATTAATGCAAGATGAGTGATCAGTTAAAATTCTTCAATCATACTCCAAAGTAATTATGCACCTTAACTCCTAAAATATTAACATAAGATAAGTCAGCGTTACATTAGTATATTGATGCCTAAATTAGCGCTAAATAAAGAACTCATTGTCCATAATATTGTTGTAGCAACTGCAGAGTTTAAATCTAAGGAATTTGCATTAATCTAAGATGGCATAATTTTTTCAATTTAGTAATTTAGTCTTATTTTTCACTTGAAATCTTTTGTAAAAAATATATCTTTCTTTGTGAATTATACTTTTAGCAGATCTACCTAAAATTATTAAAAGAAAAATATACTGAATTTTGAGAAATAATGGTCTAATCAAAAGAATACAAGAGCTAAAGCTTCATCATTTGATTTGAGATATCTATTATTTGGAAGTCTATTGGCTAAATAAGCATCCCATTTTGGATAGAGACTAAAATATTTAAGCTTTGTTGAGCTAAGCTTCTTAGGAGTTTATGCGTAAAGATTTCGTTTTAAAATGCAATTTAAACTTAACCGGTTGAAGATATAGTTTTAATTCTAGCTTACAATGAGTCCAAAGCTTTGTTGATATACCTAACAAAAAGCTAAAGATATCTACATTAGTTGATTTTCGTTGAATAATAATTATGAATTTTCTTCTGATATTAAGCCAGATAACTTGTCTTTTACAAATATTTAAAAGTAATAAGAATTGTAGATACTAGCTTTACCTTACTATAATAGCATAATCCTTATTTAATATTCACCTTTGTCATTTTCTTAAGGTGCTATTTTGAGTATATTATTGGCTAGGGTTACAAATTTAGTTGTATTTTTCAAAACTAAAAAAGCAAAATAAGGATCATTTTCATTATCGAAAATAGCAGGCAATTTTGCATTTAAAACTTAATCTTCATAAACAAACTAATCATCAAGCATCGTTTTGAAATATGGCGGTGAGTTATTTATTTATTTTCTCTAATATCTTGTTAAGTCAACATAGAATATAGATAAAAAGTTTATTTCAATGTTAAATTAAACAATTATAGTATATGTCTTTGATTAAACACTGCTTATTAATGCATTAAGTTTAACTTTTAATTTTTATTTATCAAGTCTTTTGTCATCAGAATGGAACTAGAAAATTGAAAAATCTATAATTTCAGCATAGACAGAATTAAATTATTCTGGTATTTATATTTCTTCCCTAATAATAATAGTAAAGCATTATTTATTGTTTAAATAGTCTATCAAAACTATATTTTTCAATGGATCACCAATAATATAATCAATGCTTATATCCTAATTTCTTGGAGTATTTCTCAGTATATTATCGCATTATCTTGGGAAAATATTCAAAGTTTCTTTTATTTCAGTGTAGCCATAATCTAGCAAAGCTTATATAGGATAGATTGTGGCTGTTATAACATTTAGCATATCGAAAAGTAAAAGTCCTTAGAAATCAGAGTCGTCTATATTAATAGTCTAACTAAAATCATTCTCTAATTTCGTGTTAATATTTTAAACTACTTTAATTCCTTCTATAGCTCTTTAGAATTTGATGGTTATAAGCTAGGGATCTGAGCAATTATTTTACCTCAATTTTATCAGGATTAAATTTGAGCAATTATAACCTTAATAGCAAGTTAGGGTTTAACCATTAATCAATTATTCATGAAGCTAAGAACTTATGCTTATTTTAGTTGGATCAGTACATTTGTAAATGTCTTAATTTGGATAACTTTTAATAGAATCTCTTAAATCCAGATAGGTTTTAATGTTTTATGAATCAAAATTTTAAACTGTTGCAACAGAATAAGATTCAAATAGGGTTGCAAATGATATTAATTAATTCATCACAGTGTAATTAGAGTTAGTTTTTTATATCTGTTCTTAGCATTTGTATTAACTTAAAAAGGAAATGCTTATGATTCCTCATGTTTATGTACCAGAGATATAGGCACCTGCTATTAAATGATGGTTGAATTTTACTACTTTCATATTTGTTAGATTATAATATACGTTGATAGAGTATGTCTTCATTGTATAATGCACTACTGGTAGTGTTGATAAATTATAATCAAGGGCAGCTTTATTAATTTGAATATATCCAAATGATTATTAGTATTTTGCAGTATGAGGTCTTTAAGAATAATGAATAAAATGATTACCTGATATATCCCAAAATGCCATCATACACTAATATTATCTATTATCTTCCCAAATTACATAACTTGAAAGAAGCTAAAAATTAGCTGTATCAAAGGTAAAAATGCCAATAGATGAAGGTTTATTCATTGAAGTAGCATCACTTGAAGTACAACCACCCAAGTATGCTCCATCATAACTAAATCCCATTGATTAAATTGTAGAATCTTAATAATACTTTTAATCTCCATTTAGAGTGAATTATTGTGCTATATTCACTGTAAAATCAGTATTAAATTTTCCCAAAACATATCTATATATGCCCTAATTTAAAGTACTTCCTGCAAAATAAAGATTTTCATTTAGTTTATCAAATAGTAAAATCCTGATAGTATATATCTTGAAATAGATCTTTTATTATACAGATCCAAGATTTGAATCATATACAAAAAATAGTGTATTATTAGAGGTAGTAAGGTCTATAGCAATATAGACTTTTGAATTTGAATCTACCTCGAAAACTTAAGGCCTTACTGAATGCATATGTCCATTTAGTTTCAAAGATTTGGTGGCATTACCAGTTTTTACGTCAAGAATTGTTAATACGCTATATCTGTTTTTAGTTATCATCAAGGCGAAAACTTGATTATTTTTTATTCTTATAGCTGAAACATATTCTATAAAAGTTAGACTAGGTATGTTGGCATCCTTATATGAGAACACCCATTTAACGTGTACATTGGAACTTTCAGTTTAAAAATATCCGACTAAAGGCAATGTTTAACTAATGTCTTGTACACTTCCTCCGAAAATGATGTCGTCATTCCCATCTTTATCCATATCAACTGCGTAAATTCTTGATTCTTTATAAAGATTGCCCAAACTAACTTGTAGAGGAAATTATTTAGGTCCATAACAAATATCATATGAATTAGTACTCCAAGTGATAAATAGCAGTATTAAAAGAAGATGAGGAAAGACAGCTGAGTAATGAATTCTATATAGTAAATAATTATATAGATAATAATACGTCATTTAGATTATGATGATTATTATAAATATTATAACTCTCATTCAAAGTTTTTATTATGCAATTCTTAAAACTCTTGAAAATGTATGAATACGGGGTTTTATCATTTTAAGGTTTTGGGGTTTCAATAGATTTCTAGTTATCATCA